GCAAAATGTTGGCACTTTCATCATTTCATCTCTATGTTCTGGCTTCATAATGGGCAAAAATGAAAGCACAAGTTGCATTTGTCCTTGAGAGAGAGAAAGTGGCCTCATTTCACTGAAAACCAAAATCAACAGGGGAAACAATTCCTCTACCAGATCAGAGGGCACCCATCTTGTCCTTCGGAAATCCCAGAGATACTGGAGATCACCAATGAAATAGGGAACCAGGCAGAGATGGAAACAACAAAAGGAAAATGAAGAGTGTATTCACCACTTCCAGATATTTAAAAATAACACCTAAAAATCAGAAAGGACTTAGGCAATGTTCTGCGAAATTAAACACATTAAAGGAAAGCCGGCAGTGCTGGAGACATCTCCATGTAGGATTTTTCACACACAAATATTCGGAGTCAGTGTTATTAACACATGTCCTAGCTTATTTAAAACTCCAGGAGCAAGGGAGAAAGAGAGAAATGCACTATTGGTGCTTCCAATACAGCTGCTCTAGCAAATTCAATAGGACCTCCCATTATTTATTTACATATCAAAGAAACATGTTGAAAATGAATGTAGTGCTTGTGAAAGGAGCTGGATCAATGGCCCTGGAGGATGGAGCCTTCTTTGTATCCATGGAGGAGGGGGGAGATCAGCACAAACTTCTTCACCAATGTGCCACAGTTCTTCTCTGGACAGACCACGTTTGGGTGTAAGAGGGAAGTTCAGACTTTCTAAAATAAGTTTGATTAACTCTGGCACCTAAAATTACCTAATCTTGGCTTCCAACTTCTACCTCCAGGGGAGGTGCCAAAACAACCTCAGAAAAGGGTTCTCACTACTTTACAGACATGACCACAAGTATGAAGCATATTGTGGGAATCTGTTCTCTCTGTCCCCCAGCACAATTTTGCTACTTCAAAGGTTTGGCTCAAAATCAAATGAACAACTAAACTAGTGGGTGCTTATCTGAAGAGAATGGCCCCACTTAGTCAGCCTCATCTTCCTGTAAGAGAAAGTCAGGTCTCTTTATGGGACTGGAGTAAGTTTTTCGTACTGCACAGTACTATAGGGCTTGGCTACACTTACAAGTTAAAGCGCATTAAAGCAGCCCAGTGCACTCTAACTCAGAAAGGCGTCCACATTGGCAAGGCACGTAGAGCGCTCTGACTCCGCGGCTAGAGTGCTCCTGGTACTCCACCTCAGCGAGTGGAATAACATGTGATGCACCCCCGCTGGAGTGCCACGGCGCCAGTGTGGACGCTCTGGTCTGTTAATGCGCTCTGATCAGCCTCCAGAAGTGTCCCACAATGTCTGTTCTAGCCACTCTGGTCATCACTTTGAACTCTACTGCCCTGCCCTCAGGTGACCAACTGCCAGACCCGCACCTTAAATTCTCTGGGAATTTTGAAAATCCCCTTCCTGTTTGCTTAGCCAGGCGTGGAGTGCTCTCACCGAATTTTTCCAGGTGACCATGCCTCCACGCACCAGGCGATCCCCAGTATGGAGCAATGGCGAGTTGCTGGACCTCATCAGTGTTTGAGGGGAGGAACCTGTCCAGTCCCAGCTGCACTCCAGCCATAGAAATTACAATACTTTCAGGCAGATATCAAGGGACATGATGGAAAGGGACCATGATCGAGATGCACTGCAGTGCAGGGTTAAAGTGAAGGAGCTGCGGAATGCCTACCGCAAAGCCCACGAGGCAAACAGCCGCTCTGGTGTTGCCCCCGCGATCTGCCATTTCTACAAAGAGCTGGATGCGATACTTGGGGTGACCCCACCTCCACTCCGAGTACAACCATGGACACTTCAGAGCCCAGTTCAACAAGGCAGGAGGAGGAGAGGAAAACGGGAGTGAGGGTGCTGAGGAGAACGAAGACACCCTGGAATCCCTAGATGCATGCAGCCCAGAAGCTGTTTTCAAGCCAGGAGGAAGGTCGCCAGTTACGGCGGCCAGTCCTTGGGGAAGGACAAACACCAGAGGAGGTTCCCAGTAAGCGGCTTTTATTTCAGGAAGGAAGTTATTCAGTGCGCGCTCTTGGGGCGAGGAGGGTTAGTGCTGCATGCATGCCTAGATGCGGAATAGGGCGTTGATGTGCTCTCTCACATCGCGGTAATGGGCCTCAGTGATCTCTTCAAAGGTCTCATCCAGAACTTGGGCAATGCGCTTGCGCAGGTTTCTTGGGAGAGCCAATATGGTCCTTGTCCCAGTCAGGCTAACATGTCCGCGCCTAAACCTCCCTTGCTGCAATTTAAGCCCATTGCTGCTTGTCCTATCCTCAGAGGTTAAGAAGAACATTTTTCTCCCTCCTTGTAACAACTTTTTATGTACTTGAAAACTGTTATGTCCCCTCTCAGTCTTCTCTTTTCCAGACTAAACAAACCCAATTTTTTCAATCTTCCCTCATAGGTCATGTTTTCTAGACCTTTATTCATTTTTGTTGCTCTTCTCTGGACTTTCTCCAATTTGTCCACCTCTTCCCTGAAATGTGGCGCCCAGAACTGGACACAATACTCCAGTTGAGGCCTAATCAGCACGGAGTACAGCGGAAGAATTACTTCTTGTGTCTTGCTTACAACACTCCTGTTAACACAACCCAGAATGATGTTTGGTTTTTTTGCAACAGTGTTACATTGTTGAACCATATTTAGCTTGTGGTCCACTATGACCCCCAGATCCCTTTCCACAGTACTCCCTCCTTGGCAGTCATTTCCCATTTTCTATGTGTGCAACAGATTGTTTCTTCCTAAGTGGAATATTTTGCATTTGTCCATATTGAATTTCATCCTATTTAGTTCAGTCTATTTCTCCAGTTTGTCCAGATCATTTTGAAGTATAATCCTATCTTCCAAGGCACTTGCAATCCCTCCCAGCTTGGTGCCATCTGCAGACTTTATAAGTGTACTCTCTATGCCATTATCTAAATCACTGATGAAGATATTGAACAGAACTGGACCCAGAACTGCTCCCTGGGGGACCCCACTCATTATGCCCTTCCAGCATGACTGTGAAACACTGATATCTACTCTCTGGAAACTGTTTTCCAGTCAGTTATGCACCCACCTTATAGTAGCTCCATCTAGGTTTCATTTCCCTAGTTTGTTTTGAGAAGGCCATGTGAGACAGTATCAAAAGCTTTACTAAAGTCAAGACGTACCACATCTACCACTTCCCCCCATCCACAAGGCTTGTTACCCTGTCAAAGAAAGCTATCAGGTCGGTTTGACACAATTTGTTCTTGACAAATCCGTGCTGACTGTTATTTATCACGTTATTATCTTCTAGATGCTTGCAAATTGATTGCATTATTATTTGCTCCAAATTATTTGCACTATCATAGGCTCAAGAAAAAAATTATGCATATTGGGAAATGATTCACCCAGCTTCCTGCAGCAGGCAGGTTATGAAAAATATTCACTTTTGCTGGTTCATGACAAAATGAGGTCTTTAAGTATTCAGATCCCGCGCATGCCTTTGGAATGGGGAAGAAAAGGCAGAAGGAGTCTCCTACAAAAGCAAGAGTGTGAGAGCTTGCAGGGAACAAGTAGCATTCATTTCTCTGCATGAAGTAAGAAGCCTTCAAGAAGTGAACCAAATCAAACATTAGACCAAAGAAAACCCCTTCCTCTAAAGTACCCCTTCTAAAATGTCCCAGAACATCCCGTCTTCTTCCTTCCTGTATAGGGACTGGAGCACACCATCTTACACAGTACTTAGTACATTGTCAGTGCTTAACAAGTACAGAATGATCTATATTTTCAAACATGGCAAGTGATTTTGGGTGTCCCAGATTTTTGGGTGACCAGCCTGAGATACTTTAAAGGAGCCTGATTTTCCAAAAGTAGAGTGCCAAACCCTCGGAAAATCAGAACCTTTTGTGGTGTCTCACTGTGCGTGGCACCCAAAATCACCAACTACTGTTAAAGGCGTAGAACAATAAATAAATACCACTACTGCTATCATGCACTATATGGGTGCAGACCACGGGACATGTGATGTGTCCAATCGACACTCATCCCTTGGACGTGTCATTATCTAAATCACAATTTGAGGTTACACACGAGTCACTCAGCAAAGCTAGGTTTCAGGGTAGCAGCCGTGTTTATGCTCCCACCTGTTTATGCTCTCTGTATGTGTGTATATATATCTCCTCAATATTTATTCCACTCTATATGCATCCGAAGAAGTGGGCTGTAGTCCACGAAAGCTTATGCTGTAATAAATTTGTTAGTCTCTAAGGTGCCACAAGTACTCCTGTTCTTTTTTCAGCAAAGCTAGTTACTCCTGCGTGACCAAATCCTGCAGTTCTAGTCACTCCTGGCTCAGGGAAGTTTCCCACCAAAGTCAATGCTACTTTCATCTGAGCGAGGGCTCAGCTCTGAAGTGCTGAGCAACCTCAACTTCTGTTAACTTCAGCACTTACAAGAACAGGGCCTAAGCAAGGAGTGGCGGGATTTGGGTGGGGCATGATAAAGCCCCGGTGGCCTGAATACTGGATGGTGATGAGGAAAGTGCATGCTGCACCTTCTGAACAGATTAGGAGCCAGTCCTGAACACACTCCTAATGCATATGCATCACTACAGCTGCCTCTGATTTCTGAAGGCAGAATGTCTTTGGGTAGTGCTGTTGGCACAGTGCACTTCTCTATCCCCTTCTCGTTTTTACTTTGGTCACTAAAGCCACAATATAGCCCTTCATCTCTGTATTAACAAAGCACTGGCTGATCAATGCATTAATGTAAATACATTATACTAGGTTACATCCACAATGTAAACTAGTCAAGTTTCATTTTTCATAGAGTCCAGTTTGTGGGTGCTTTAAGAGAGCATCTGGATCTCATGCCTGGGTACTCAACGCTGCACACAGCTGCACAAAATGGGCACTTGCATGTCTGTGTGCCAATCTGAGCCTCCAAATGGGAGATTTGGATAACCTGCCAGTAGTGGTGTTTGAAAATCAAGTTTGGAAAGCATTGTGGGAGAAAGAAGAGACTTTAGGACTTGCCTCACAGGGAGAATTCCTAATTGGAGCTGGAAACACAGCGCTGGTCACGATGGTTGTTTCTGCCACTGGGACCTTACTGGTATTCAGCAAGAGTGCAGAGCCTAGATAAAAAACAAAAGAGAAGAGCAGACATGCTGTTGCCACTAACCTCTGGATGCAAGGTTTGTAAAAGGCTCATCAGAACATTCCTGTAAGAACCTTACCTAGTCTGGTTCCGATTGTGTTAACTGGTCCCTGTTTCAGGGGGATAACATGTGACAAAAGGCATTTTTCAATTTAGTTTGGATGCAGTCAATACAGCTTCACATACTCTAGGGCCCAATTCGGGAAACATTTAAGTGATCTGGCTATCTTCTTCACACACATTATTTTTCTGCTTATGCGTAATTTAGGATTCATTTTCTTTGCTGGATCCACAACAAAATGCATTTGTTAAAAAATTTAATTTTAAGTGACTCTTCGTGCTGGTGAAAAATACCAGATTAATAGCAATGCAGTTAGAGCTCTGTCTGTTCCTTTAGGCTAAAGGTCACTCATCATAACAAGGACTGAAGGAGGATCTGGAAACACAGATATTTTCTTGCAGAGGGCATAGGGAGTAGAGGAAAATGCAAAGGGAAATTCTTTGCTCTCTCTGCACAGAGCCAGAGAGGGCTGAGGCTGTGGAAATGATCAGTGGGTCCAAAATGCTGACAATACAGCAGTTACAAACTTCCACATAAGCTTTGCTCCCCCTGCCTGGGGGCTGCAGTACCTGCGAAAGAGGGGAGATTAGGTTGCACTGAACCCTGCCTGCATGGTGTGGGCCCAGCCCCAAACATATTTGTGGGCCCCCATGGGGGCAAAGGAGCATGGCGTGGGGAGGTCGGTCCCCAGAGCAAGGGGCCAGCCAGGGGCATTGGGGCATAGCATGGTGGGGCCGGTCCCGCTCCACCCAGCCCAGTGCAAGGACACTGTATACAAACGGGCAGTTGCCAGATGCACACTAGCCCACCCAGCCCTGTGCTGCCATCATGCCCCTTCCCCTTGGGTGTGGGCCCATGTTGCACCACACTTCCCCCCAACTCCCTATGCCCAGCATCCCCCAGAGCTGCTATGCCCAGCAGCCCCCCCACAGACCCTCCACTGCAAATGCACAGCAGCCTGCACACCACCCCTGCCCAGCACCCCCCAACAGCCGCACCACTGCTGCCCAATGCACTTCTCCACAGCCCACCACCACAACTACACAGCACCCACTCAGACCCCCCCACTGCCCAGCATCCCAACACCCAGACCTCCCCCACCGCCCCGCAAGACACCCCCTCAATGCCCAGCAGCCCCACACACAGCCGCACCACTACTGCCCAATGCACTTCCCCACAGCCCACCACCACAACTACACAGCACCCCACTCTAGGATGACCAGATGTCCCAATTTTATAGGGACAGTCCCGATATTTGGGGCTTTTTTTTATGGGCTCCTATTGCTCCCCACCCCCTATCCTGATTTTTCACATTTGCTATCTGGTCACCCTACCCCACTCAGACCCCCAGCATCCCAATACACAGACCTCTCCCACCCACCCCAACAGACCTCCCACTGGCCAGCAGCCCCCCTCTCCCCCACCTCCGGAGACCCACTCCCTCACACCCTGCCCCCTGGCCACACTCACCAGCTCTGCTGGAAGGTGATGGCGTCTGCCAGGCTGAGCTGGCAGCATGGCTGGGGCCGGTCCAGTGCCAGGGCGGGGAATCACTCTGGCCTCTTGGGAGTGGCACAATTAGCCAGGTCAGGGTCTGCTCCCGCCCTGGCCGGACTCCCTCAGGATCCACTTGCCTGGAGATAGGATGACTATACATCCCCTTTTGGTTGGGAGAGTTCCCTTTTTAAGCTCTGTCCTGACTTTTTTTTTTTTTTTTTTTTTTTTTTTACAAAAACGGGCATTTATACCATTTGCTCTTGCCAACTGATCACTTGGCAAGAGCAAACGAAAAAATGCCCAGTTTACCAAAAAAGTCCAGTGTACTCCCCTAGCGGGGCATGGAAGAACATGTTGGTGGGGGGGGGGGTGGCGACGCGAGGTGTCAGGAAGCAGGGCTTGGGGGGTCAGCCCCAGATAGAATGGAGCTTGGCGGGGGGGGGAGGGGTAGGGGCCAGTCCCAGCCCCTGCCCAGCCCCTTGTAGTGGTGTGGGGAGGGTGTCAGCCCCAGCTCCTGGCAGTGATGCAGGGAGCTGGGGTGGGGGGAGGGGTCAGCTCCAGTCCTGGCAGCGGCACGCGGAGCTCGGGGAGGGGAGAAGGGATCGGGGAGGGGGCAGCCCCTGTCCGCAGCACGGGGAGCTCTGGGAGGGGAGAAGGAGTCGGGGAGAGTGGGGACAGTCCCTGGCAATAGCACGGGGAGTTCGGGGAGGGGAGAAGGGGTTGGGGAGAGGGGGGACAGCCCCTGGCCACAGCACGGGGAGTTCGGGGAGGAGGGGTCAGCCCCTGGCAGCGTGGAGCTGGGGTGGGGCCAGCAGCCCCAGCCAGGCGGCACGGGGCTCCAGCTCTCTCAGCCCCAGCTGTGGCCAGAGGCGAGCCCACGACTGGCCTATGATCCAACAGGAGAGAGCAGAACGGTGGGCAGGGGGCAGAGGCAGGGGTGGAGAAGAGCTGGCGGGGCCTTGGAGTGCAGCCCAAGCAGAGCGGGCCGGGTCAGGCCGGGGCCCCTTTGGAGCCTGGGCCCAGCGCCATGGCGCCATTGTAAATCCTGTACTGTTTTATTTAACTCTGAACAGTGTTTTTGGGATAGTGTGTATGGCAGATGCTACTCTGTATAATTACTGTTTTCCTTTAGTGGCTGTGCATATAAGCAATAAATGTCTCCTTTGATTTATACTATTGTATGAGGGAAAATGTTCATGGAGGCAGGTAGTTTTGTATGCCACATATCAGCCTGGTGATAGTTCAATGCCCAGGATATAAACCACTGAATACTGTGGGTTTATGAGAGCAAAGTTGAAATTGTGGGGGGAGTGCAGGGAAGCAGAGACAGGATTAAGAGGAAGTAAATAAGGAATTGTGGAAGGGTGAAGGATCTGGCTGGCTTGGCAGGGTAGAGGCAGGAGGATGCGAAGAGGATAAAAAGTAATGAGGACATATCTGAAGTAAAGCACAGAAGCCTGGGACACCAAATCTCTAATGACAAGACAGACAGGACAATGAGAGCCCCAATGGTCTCATGCGCAGAGTGTTTAAGGTGGAAAGATAGGTTTTGTTTCACTGAAAGCTGAATATAAAGGACTTATGAAAACAAGGTAAGTGCAAATCCTGTGTTCTGCACTGAAAAGACCTCCCCCTCTGCCTTTAGCATCCCCTCCACCCGCCCGCCCACTTTGTTACCTGCCATTCATTCCCTGTATCTACTGGTATTCCCTCGTACCTTCCAGTGAAGGGAAGTGGCTATATTCCAGGTTTCCGATCTGCCATGGAGAAGTGAGAGAGGCGGGAGAGCCCTGGGTCCAGCCGCAGTCCTCTTCTTCAAACGAACAGTAAAAGCCAGGGGGGAGCTTTTCTGCAAGAGGGAGAGTCCAAAAAACACAGAAGAGCTGATGAGTGGATTCCTGGGCACAGGCAGAAGGAAAGCAATGAATGTTATTTTGGAGCAGACTGACTCTTCCCATCTTCACATGGCCATTTGCTCTTACCCATCATGTCATGGATGACAAAGTGTGGGGGGGGGGGGGAGGGAAGGTGACAACACTTCAAGGTGTGACTGTTGGCTGAAAGAGAGGGGCAAATCCCTGCATATGTGACATTGGGGGGTTTCCTATTTACTTGGTCTCTGTGGCTTCTAGGAACTAATTTACTCAAGGTTACAAATCAAGAGATGATTTTCCTAAGTTCTGGCCCCCACAACTCCACCTGGGCAGGGAAAATCCTCATCAGTAAAGCACTCTTACTGCCGTGCCCCCCTCCCCCAATTAACTGAGGTCAGTGCAGTCCAGTGGCTCTAGCGCAGGCAAGTCATTGCACTTCTTTGTGCCTCAGTGCTCACATCTGTGAAAGGGGAATAGTAATACCTCCTTGCCTTTGGAATGCACTTAGGGATGAAATATGAACATTTTGTCTGAAACCCTATTTGCAGTTTTGAAGCTCACTCTTTCATTTTGTTACCGGCTTGGGTTTTTTAACGGGGTTCTGCATTGTAAGTCCTAATGTTTTCTTAGTCACTGGCTTTCTGTCACTATGGTTTGATCTACACTACAGAGTTAGAGCGATGCAAGGTAGCTTACGTTGACCTAACTATGGTAGCATCTACACTTAAATTTTACTCCTGCCACTGTATCTGCCCCAGTACGCCGACCTAATAACTCCACCCCCATGAGTGGCATAGAATCAAGGTCAATGTAGTTAGGTCAATGCAGTGTCAGTGTAGATACTGCCTTGCTTAAGTCAATTGTTATTGGCTTTCAGAAGCTGTCTACAATGCCCCACATTGATAGTACAATTGGTACGAGCACCCCTGGTGAGGACTGACAGTCCCTTAGCCCATGCCTTGTGAGTCTGAGTCAGTTGGCACTGGCCAGCCATGGGTGTCTAATTGCAGGGTATTCAAGATGTTATACCACACACACACACACACACACACACAGGTGAGTAAAGCAGAGTAATAAACCCTTTTAGCAGGAGTAAGAGTGAATAGCAACTACACTTCAAAACAACACTGGGGTTACACAGGGTGGTTTGATTAGCAGCACAGCATGACAGGATTAGTTGAGTGATTGAATTAGCTGCTGACAGACAAGTTGTTGTAACTCAAGCAACTTCACTTGCATCTGAAGAAGTGAGGTTCTTACCCATGAAAGCTTATGCTCCCAATACTTCTGTTAGTCTTAAAGGTGCCACAGGACCCTCTGTTGCTTTTTATCTTCTCATGTGTATTTATTTAAAGGGGCCTATCTCATGTATGGCCCTCATCACTGCGGTATCTGAGCTCCACAAGATTTAATAAAATGCTTCCCTCCTTCACTTCTTCATTTGCAGGAGTAGTTTAAAAGACCGTTTCCTCACTCCACTCCCAAAGTTTTCTGTTTATTCAAGAAGTATCATCTTGTCAACAACTGTACAAGAGGCCTATCATTCAAGATGCTGAGCGCTGTCAATGCCCATTCACTCCATCAGGATCACAGGACACTCAGCTCCTCACAGGATTAGGCCCTAAACTTCTCTGCTCTCCCAAAGTGCCTCACTGCTGACGTAGATAGGTTAAAAGGGTAGCTCAGAGTCCATGGCCTATTCAGTTCTTGGTCTCTCTTCAGGAGGCCAGTTAGTCACTGCTGTGATGATTGTGTCTGTGATGTGAACATCTGATTTTTTAGGTAGGAACTGGACTGAGAATCACCAACTCATTCCACTTAGGCCATCAACAGTCATCACACGACCATGGCTTTCAAGAGGGACTGCTGGGGCTAGCTTTGAACCTGTGACCTACAGTGGAAGTGAAAAAATCTCCTTATCCCATAGCCATCTAATCTACCATAAACCAAACCTTTAAAAGCACATTTACGTTTTTGCCTTTTAAAGTCTCCAAATTTGTGCAGCCTTCCCTACACTCTCTAGGCTAAGACGACAGAACCTTCACTGTGTTTTACCGATCTATAGAACTTGATTATTTCATCATCTCAGCCTCAGGCTGGGATCTGAATAAAATGACAGAACCAGGTGTGCCCTGAATTCCTATTGTAACAACTCAGTGTGGTGTCTGGTTGAATGCATTTTCCTGTCTGGGATGCTGTAAACAAGCCCAAGCAGTGGGGGAGACATCTAAGCAACAAACTCTGCCTGGAGGCTAGAAAAAGCTGTAGTTCAGCTCATTGTGATGTATAATAGAAATAGAGATGTATAATAAAAGCTATTACTATCACAGTACATCTCTTTCCTCCTCCTCAAATATGTCATTATGAATTGCTGAATGTCCTGCACTCTAGATGTGCTGCATTCTCAACTACTATTGTTTAATGCTTCGTATATGTAGAAAAGCAATGGAACCCATTTATTGCAATTCCATGGAAAGCTTTCAGGATAGAGCCACTCTAAACACGTTACCACACAGCAGGCTCTCATTAGCATTACCCAGATTAGTGAGGGCTCTGTGCACTGCACAGAGGAGAGAAAAAAAATTTCTGGATTGAAAAGGCAATATCCACATACACAGTGCACGTTTCTGAACTTTTTAGCTAGGCAAAACTCACACTGACTTCAGTGAGAGTTCTGCCTGATTAAGGAGAGCACGAGTTTTATGAGGGTTGGTGAAACCTAGTGTGTTTGATAGTATTAGAGATAGGCAAACCTCAAAAGGTTCAAACCTCAGTGGGTATGTCTACACTGCAACATAAGCTTGAGCTTAAACTCGGGTGCAAACCTAACCCCCTTTGTTTCTACACTGAAATTGTGCTAACTCAGGGCTTGGTCCCAGTGTCTCAGGACCTGCAGGGTTCAAGCACGAGTCAAGCTAGGACCCAGGGTTCCAGCCCTATTGCTTTGCAGTGTAGACGCCCCCCTGGACTCATGTCCTGGGAGTCCATCAGAAATATCCCACAATTTCATGGGCTGACTTCCTTAGTTTTCTCTGTGACGGGTTGGATCACAGAAACCCCCTTGGGAACTGCCAACTGATGTGCCAAGACTACTTCTGCCCCTGCTTTCCCTGCCAGCTCGGGACTCCAGCACCCTGTCTTGCTGAGCCAGACACGCCAGTCTGAGTCTAATACAGTAATAAAACTGAATACAGATAAAATCTCACCCTCAGAGATGTTTCAATAAGTTTCTTTTACAGACTGGACGACTTCCTAGTCTGGGCACAATCCTTTCCCCTGATACAGCCCTTGTTCCAGCTCAGGTGGGAGCTAGGGGATTTCTCATGATGGCTCTCCTTTGTTCTGTTCCACCCCCCTATATATCTTTTGCATACGGTGGGAATCCTTTGTCCCTCTGGATTTCCATCCCCTTCTTCTCAATGGAAAAGCACCAGGTTAAAGATGGATTCCAGTTCAGGTGACATGATCACATGTCACTGTAAGACTTCATTACCCCCTTGCCTGCACATACATATACAGGAAAGACTTACATGGCCCACACTTTGCATAATTACAATAGGCCTCAGAGTTATATTTTATATTTCTAGTTTCAGATACAAGAGTGATACATCTATACAAATAGGATGACCACACTCAGTAGATTATAAGCTTTATAACGATACCTTACACGAGACCTTTTGCATGAAGCGTATTCCAGTTACATTATATTCATACTCATTAGCATATTTCATAAAATCATATAGAGTGCAACGTCATACTCTCTATCGCAACAATCTCCAATCGACAACTGAAAACAGAAGCCACCCCCTTTGGCATGGGTGGCGGGTATCATAGGCCAGAGGATGCCAAGTCTTCCCAAACAGCTAAGCGTGGCCCCGCCCATGTGCCACCCCAAGGCCCCATCCTGCGTCCCATTCTTCCCCCAGGGCCCCAGCCCAGACTGCTCCTCTTCCCATCTTTGCTAAGATTCTCCCCCGAAGCGGGTGGTGGTTGGGGCTAGGATGGGCCACCCAGCTGGCCTGGGTCTAGGGCTGCCCAGTGCTCTGGCTGGACAGCCCGGCCGGGATGGCCTGGGACTCAGGGCAGCTGGGGTGGGGCTCCACTGGCTGCAAGGGGGGAGGAGGGCAGGGCCAGGGGCTAGCCTCCCTGCATGGGGGATTCATGCACCACCTATGTCCCTCGGCGTACAGCTGCAGCTCACCACTGAAGAACCTCCTGGGTTTGCAATGGAGACCGGACTGAACACGCCTTTTGCAAAGCGTGCTGCTTCATGGTCTTGGGCACACTGCCATATTTTGGTGAATCTCTGGTGGAAGGCCAATAAAACTGTGGCCTTCAGCAAAAGCACCAGGAATGATCATGCGTACCAGCAGATAGCTAAAAAGCTGGTAGCTTTGCAGTTTTTCCAGACTAGTGACCAGTGCAGGGAGCGTATTAAGCTTAAAAGTGAGTACCAGACAACCAGGGACAAGAACCACACCTCCGGCAACTCACCAACACCATGCCCATTTGATGAGGAGTTTGACCAGGTGCTAGGCACTGTGCCCAACCCTGGTTCATGATGACCTGCTCAGTCGGGATGTTGCTGTGCTAGCCCCTGAATCCAGCCGGGAGACTGATGGGAGCCAGCAGCAGGCTCCAGTGAGGAATATGAAGTGACTCTGTTTATGAAACCAGTCCCAGAGGAGGTTGTGGATAAGGATCAAAAGCAAATTCTAGGTCCCTGCTTGGAAGAGCTGTGTGACCCCATCCCATCCTGAAGAACACTCTGCTGGTGAGCCTGCAGCAAACCCAGTGGAGACAGAAGCTGCTCCAGAGCCTGGTAACTTTCTGACTCCCATATAATTTATTGTTACAGTAATGGGAGAGATTTCTGCTCCAAGAAGCACTGCAAAAATTATGAGACGCCCCATCAAGTGGCATGATATAATCTGCCTTTAGCGGATACATTATGAGAAGCTGCATGTATCTGCTA